CGCAACGTAAGCATTTGGGCTAGGTGCCAGGAAGGAGTTGCACACGAAGCTAGGTGCTGGGCAAGCAATGAGAAGTGATGGAGATAGTGTTCCCCCACATCCACAACGACGCAAGTATTGTGGTAAGGTGGTTGCTGATGACGATGACTCTAAGGTAAGCTCTATTTCTAGCACCCTCAATATTGATGTTGAGATTACCAGATGAGCTGAGTCCTCAAGTAGAAGGGAATGCACTCAAACTACGTAGATGATAAAATAAGAGATCTCATCACCAAAACCAACTCCAAATAATCTATTATCAATCTGCATCAAATACAACAAAAGTGCATTAGCATAATTGAAAAATTATTTACTAGAATAAACAGTAAATTAAGCATATATTTAGAATTGAAAATGTTTATCAAGATGAAGTTGTCTCGCTAGTCTCCTCATTGGCCCCATTGCGTTACATCATTAACTTCACTTCTGTAATTTGTTGCAACATTATCTCTTAATGCTTTTTCATATGCTCGAGTTTTGCCTTAGTCTCATCCAATTCTCTTTGTCTAGTTTCATTTTCACCCTAAAGGGTCACTACAAATTGCCTTCAAACTTCTTACTCCATACTCATGTGTAATAGTCTTGACCACCTTTGTTAAAAAATAAAGTAGGTAGTCAACCAAATTTTGTTGTCATTTTAATGACATCACAAATAAACAAAGCAACGAACAAACATATTAAGTATTACTACAACTTTAGAATTGTTCACCCAAGTGTAGGTTGTGCAAAGTAATATAATACTCAGAAGTCCGAAGTTGAACCACAGAGAATTGAGAAAAACATAGAACACAAAGAAAAATAAAAGAAAATTATTTTGAAAAAAATTGTTGTAGAGATATGTGCTTAACCTTAAAAAGTTACCTTACACACACACACACACACACACATATATAACGCTAATTACATTAATTAAATAAGTTAATAAGTTGAAAATAGATAATATTATTATTAATGGGTGGAAAGTTTGATATTTTGACCAAATGAATGAATTTAGAAAGCTAAAGGACCAAGGAGCAAAAAGTTGGAAAAGTTTTAAAGAAGACCTCCACCGTCCGGACGCCCATGCATCAACCGAATGTCCATAAAAATTCCAAGGTTAACAATCGCAAAGGGAGAACCCAGAAAGTTACCACCATCCAGATGATGGTGGCTAGCGTCCGAACGGTACAAACTGCCTTGCAGTCTTGCTTCTCCACCAAGTTATAAAAGACTGCCTCCTATTGGACTCCTTTGCTACCCTTGCTGCCCAAGGAATTTTATAAATACCCCCTTTTTCCCAACATTAGGAGGTCCAAAAATTGGAAGAAATTTTCTCTCTAGTTACACTCTCTCTTATACATTTCTTTACTTACTCTTTTTACTTTGAGGGTTGAACCTCTCTCACTTTTCCTAACCTCACCTTGGCCAAAAAGGGTGGTGGTGTTTCAATTTATCATTGGGAAGGAGTTTAGAGCTATTGTTTTGGTTTTCAATTCTCTTGTATTACATTTTCAACCTTGCTTAGAGGAATGAAGTTCTCCCCATTTTCTAGTTTGTTTATAGTTATGAAGAGTGAGTAATTTTTCATTTGCTCTTTAGTGAGGGGGAAAGGACTTGTGTAATATTGCTTGAGATATGATATTATGTACTCTTTTCTTTACTCTTTATTGTTGTAAACCTCCCTTAAATAATGAATGATACTTTCCTTTAGTGTAAGTACTTTGTATTACTAAGTGTATAACTTAGGTTATGCTCATGGTTCATGCAAGTACCAAGCTAGGTTTCATTTTCATTTTCATTCCATCTTTACTATTTCATGTACTTCAATGTATGATTCAATGACTTACTAAGTTGGGCATTATGTGAAGATTAAGAGATTGCGTATAGATGGGTTAAGTCTCGCCATATCTAATTTTTTGATTCTAAGCATAAACTGGAGCTATGTTCTTCATTGAATCATAGACCTTCTGATAACTGTCAAAGTAAACTATTGAATGGTTATTTGCACCTTCTAGTTTGCCAAGGTATTTAGTTGTTGTATGGTGCATAGGTCTTCTAGTAAACCTGACGGTTGTTATGTTTTGATATATAAATAACTTCCAATTGACTTACCGTTGACACAAGGGTTAGTTGTAATATGGTGACACTATCATCAACTCAAGCAAAGACACATGTTCCAATTCCTGAACTAAAGAGCACATTTTTAATTTATTGAAAGTAAAACATGTTTTTAGGTATTCCCTTTTTCAATCACTAAGAACACACCAAAATTCACTTTTTAATGATATGTCTCTAGGTTTAATTCACCTTTTCTGTTTAAAGTTCTCACATATAGCTCCATGAGGAGTCGACCTCAGATTCTATCAAGATATATTATAATTTGACCACTTATACTTGAGTGTGTACAATTAAGATCAAGTCAATAAGAATATGTATGTGAATGAGTGAGTGATAAAGAGAAAGAAAGAGAGAGATAATAGAGAATGGGAGAGTGTGTTTAAATTTTAAAATATCTGAGAGATGGGAGTATGAAATAGAGAGAGAAAGGGAGAAAGAGAGTTATATTAGAGATGAGAGTGTTAGACTTACAAAATAAATAAAAATCTTCCTCAAAAAGTTGGACAAGAATTTTTTTTTTTGTGATCAATTAGGACCGTCATATGAAATCTTAAAGTGATCTCGAATGCGAAAAGTTAAAGATAAACAATGTTAGCTTCCTTATTATAGGAGTATGAAAGAAAGAGAGTTATATTAGAAATGAGAGTATTAGAGTTGTAAAAAAAATAAAAGTTTTCCTCAAAAGTTTGGGCGAGAAAAAAAATTTTGTGATCAATTAGGACCGTTAGATAAATAATCTTAAAGCGATCTCGGCTATGAAAAAGTATAGACAAACAATATGAAATGTTCAAAGCTACTAATAAAAAAGTTAAGCATCCTCTTACATNAATCTTAAAGCGATCTCGGCTATGAAAAAGTATAGACAAACAATATGAAATGTTCAAAGCTACTAATAAAAAAGTTAAGCATCCTCTTACATCCGGCACCAGTGGTCTAGTGGTAGAATAGTACCCTGCCACGGTACAGACCCGGGTTCGATTCCCGGCTGGTGCAAACTTCTTCCCATTTTTTGCCTCCTTACTGGTAGTTAAACGGGACATCACTAAACCCGAACAACTTTATCTAATTTTAGGTTGCAAATAAACAGTAACCAAACATCGTATAAATTCACCCTAAACCTGAACCTGAACTCTTCTCGATCCTTTTCGCCTCCTTAGAACCCTTCGTAGTATTCACTTCAGTTCTCAGCAAAACCCTAATTTTCTTTTTCGAGGAAGGAGTTCTCACCTCTCGGCCAACATGGTGCTCTCTCTCTCTCCAAGTTAAAGTTTTGATACTTTGTTGCTTTCTTTATTCTCTTGTTTATGATAGATATTTGTAACTTTTATGATATATAAATAAATTTGTATGTATGATATGGATTTATCGATATAGACTGCAGAAGCTGTGAACCCAAAAGCGTATCCATTGGCTGACTCTCAGCTGACCATAACTATACTGGACCTTGTTCAACAAGCTGCCAATTACAAACAGCTGAAGAAGGGTGCTAATGAAGGTTATTATTTTATTCAATCAATTGTCTTGATGTTGTTTTCTTAATCGTTTTTTGATGATTGAGTTTTTTTTTTCTATATTTTCAAATGGGTATTTGATTTTAGCCACTAAGACACTGAACAGAGGAATTTCGGAGTTTGTGGTAATGGCGGCGGATACTGAGCCTCTTGAAATCCTTCTTCATCTTCCACTCCTTGCTGAAGATAAGGTAAGATTGTTCTGTAATGTTTTGTTTAATTGTATGTGCTCTGCTTTTGTTAGTGTGAGTACCTGTTGGTTTTATTGTTTTACCCTTTGTTGAATAGAGGGAGGTTATATAGAATGGTACTCTACTCCACTCAACGGAGCCTTATTCCAATTATTTTGGGGTTGGCTATACGAACTCTATTCCGCTATTGTGTTCTATCAAAGGCCGTATACAACAGTGAATGGTGGAAATGTCAAAAATTAGTTCTTTAAAAACCAATTTGTCTATAATTGAGAGAAAGTAATTGAGTTTGAGTTTAAGACATGCTAAACAGCCATATTCATTGGTTGGATGGTATATTCAAAAGGGGGGATAGCTTGAATAAGATTTTACACTTTCTATTACTGTGGGAGGTATGATTTTGCACAAGTTTGACATCTGTGGTTTTTTTGAAGTTTTCTGGGAATGATAGAATTAGCACAAATAGAGATAACCCCAACTTTGTTGTGAGTGAGATATTAAGAAAGGATACGATAACTTTTGGTTTGACAAAAAATGTGGTCATTGACAAAGCACAATGATGGACCATGGTTCTTATAGCTGGCCCTAAATTGGGTTGAGTTACGATAGATTAGATGGTAGAACTTCATTGAGTCAAATGGTTACTTTCTTTGACAATTTGAATGCACTTATGGCCTGGAATCTGCAAAGTGTAAGTCTGGTTCACAGGTATTATTTGGGTGTTGTTTCTAAGTAACTATATTTTGATAATATTCCAGTGTCGCTGAACTTATATGTCGCTCATAATCTCCGTGTATGTACCCTATCATCACGTGCCATTGTTAAGGGACAAGGGACTAATGTACACATCCCAATACTTGGCTAAGAAACTCTATCCTTCCCCTTTTTATCTACATATTTTTTGAGACTGACCGAGGCTTTTGGTTGGTTTTGAAATGTTTTTTGAATTATGACAGAATATAAGTTTTGTAATGTTTTTTGCATTATGACAGAACATTGGGCAAGAAAATTGAACTTGATTAATTTAGCAGTTTTACTTTGTCTTGAATTGCATGTTAGGCATATGCTGCATATCCAATTTCTACGGCACATCTGCAGGATACACGGCAGTTTGTTATCGATATTTGTGGCTTAGTAGACTTAGCTATGTAGGATTACCATCATTTGTCAAGAAATCTGATCTTTTAAAATTTATTTGTACAGAATGTGCCCTATGTTTTTGTGCCTTCAAAGCAAGCTCTTGGTCGAGCATGTGGAGTTACAAGACCAGTGATTGCTGCTTCTGTGACAAGCAACGAGGGAAGTCAGTTGAAATCTCAAATACAGCAACTCAAGGTGAACTCTCTATTGAGTTTATTATACTGCAAGGGCAGCGCATACTGCTTTTTCCTCTAATGGTCATATTCTGATTATAAAATGTAATATTGTGAAATGCAGGATGCCATTGAGAAGCTCCTGATCTAGAATTGTAAAGCCCTTTCAGCATGATGGGCCTCTGGATTTCGAGACTGGACACATTCAACGCTTGGACTGAACCTAGTTGTCTAAGTAGGGAAATGTCTACTTGCTTTTGTTCTCTCTTTGTAGCTCTATCCACTTCTTGATTATCATACAACTTTGTGGAGAAGTTCAGTAGTGTAGTTTTGAGTAAGTACCTGTGTGATGAGCTTTTTGATTATGTGATACGATTTATATGCATTTCATGGAGTTCATTTTGGAGTAGTTCTCCCTCGTTGTGATTCATTTAAGTCAGTTATCCAGTTTAGTTTGTGGTGCTGACTGGGAACTTTACACTGCTTATTTCATGGTTCATTTTCAATTTATTCTCTATGATGTGGTAAATAGATACATGAAATCACCACCTTTCATCGAGCTCTACAAATTTTTCGATATTTTTCTGCATTGGCTGAATCAAGACCTAATGTTGACTTTGTATATGAGGAGGAGGCCGACTTGACCATCTCTAGTTCATCACAGGGTAGTGACTCGGGCCTTGAGGAATACTGTGTTCCAAGAATTTCCC